AGCCATGATTCGTGAGGCCATATACAACGGTCCAATATTGCCGGCTATTGGGTGAGTTAACTGTTGTATTGGCCGTCTCTTTCCCATTGGTAAATCAGGCAGGTGTGCAATACAATCAAACAATATGTTAAACTCTATACCTGACTGGATATATAGACTATTAGTAATGGTTGAGGACCCCCCAGGTAAAATATTTTTCTTTCTTTCTAAGGTAAAAATCACATCCAAAAATCAAACATTGACGGGAAATATTACAAGGTGAGGTCAAGTCCCCCAGGTACAGGTATTGGGGGAAAATATTACAGAAACATTCCCAGGTAAATAAATTTCGTATTAGATGTGCGAGTGGAGTGGGGTGGAGAGCTTTTCCATCCTTCCAATATCCCTGACTCCTCGACCTCTCCCGTACGAGTCGAAGCAGGTCTGGTGTACAAGGTTCATTTCCAGTCTTAGTCAAGCTTATTGCTATATTAATCCCTGACTATTAGGTTTTTGAGGCCCATTAGGACAAGACCTTCAATATTAATGGCTAGGTTAGTTTAGGAAGTTATATTAGGGTCCAGTTGAAGAAAATCACAATACTAACGATGAGGTGAGGTGAGGTTGGGTAGGTTACTCAAAGAAAGGTTAGGTTAGCTGAGGTTAGGTTAGATCAGACCAGGACTTAGTGAATATGCAACTTAAAAAGCACTTAGATCATTTTACTTGTCTTCTTTAGCACACCTGCAGCAAGCTATGCACCTGACAGGCTAAGCTTCTCCCTTGGACATGCAAAGATAAAAGTGGTATGGAAATACATTTGATTTTCATGTGTGTGTGAGAGAAATAAGCTGTGAGTGATTTCACTGGAACTGCTCTTCCCAGAGAAGCTGTTCCCGGTTCGACCAACACAACAACAGTGTAGCAGAACGGTCACTGCCTGGTTGCATGCCACCAGAACAAGGAACAATAGGACAATTTTAATGCACGTAACAACAATAGTTTGTGGTGATAAAAAGACAATATCAAATACTAGTGCATGAGAATTGACGACCAACAGAAACTGGAGGGAGTTATCGAACAGTTGTCCTCCTTGCTCCGGGAAAGACCACCAACATCTGACCCCGTATTACAAAAGTGTTATGAAAAATTATTTTTGTATATGCTAGTCACTCTTTAGAACATTACTGGATTAAGAATATTTCCCGAGTGACTTTATACAACAAACGTAATCCTGATCTTCTACACGGGAGGTAATGGCGACTTAGCACAGATGTAACACAAGTACACAAACAATGATAACTGATATGGAAGACAGATCAACCTTCCGTCCCGCTTTACTACTATAAATTATTGTAAAGGAACACACATCACCTCTGTTCACGAAGCTCAACAACACGTCTTGCGAACTCTGTCCTCATCAGTGTCTCAAACTGTCCCTCAAATGTGAAGAAAATGTGATAATTTTGTTCTTAATTTGTTTAATTTTCTTTATTAACTTAATAAACCAAAAACAAAACACATAATGATATAAAACACAACTATATTAAATCGTCATATGATCGTTAACAAGTAACAAGAGGAAACTGATCCTTTCTTCAAATCAACGCTTTCGAAGACGTCCAGCAGGCAGCACTACCACCAAACTATATAAGATTATCCTTCTACTGTTGAGTGTTGTACTAATGTGTTATACAGACTGTAGGTAAACTCACCAGGAGGAGACGATAAGTCACGCTTATGTCAACAACTTAGTGTGTAAAAACAATGTAAATATTTCAGTAATTCCTAAATAGTTCATTAATTTCTTGAAGTCACTGGTGCCCCTATAAGCTGCCTCACCCTCTCCCTCGAGTGTCCAGCAGTAATAATATTTCCATCTAAATTCTTACATCATCTCCGGGCCACCGAGGTTCACCTTCCGGCACTGACTTTATCAAAGCAGTTTATCAGCCTCCAACACTTCCTGCCCGGGCCTGAGTCGGTGTTCTCCAGGAAGTTGTAAATGTATCTGATGACCTCTTAGCGGCTGGAGGTCAGTAAACGATCGCCTCATGGTAATTATAAATCTTTTGATATACTGTAAATGTTGAAACCAGGTAAACAAATGAGACATAAATTCAAACCTCAGTCAGCCGAGTTCTGCCGAGTCAAAGCTGACACGATGCAGCTTAAAATTACAGCTTCAGACACGAGCAGCTTGACGGTGTGGGAGTGGGTTTGGCTTGAGGTGTGGAGGAAGGTTAGTGGTGATGACGTGTGTGTGTGTGTGTGTGATCATAACAAGCTATAAAAGCCCTGGTTAGTTTTATCTGAGTGAATGGTCGACATTGAGTGAGGGATAATGAGGTGTTTATTAATAATACGTGAGAGGTGTAGTGATCCAACAGAGTCTCAGCGTCATGCACCGCCGCACAATAGATGGACCAGAAACCTTAATTAATTGGCTTAAATGTTTTTGTTCTCAGTTGTTAGTGATAATTACTCACGAGGGCTGGTCACGTGACTGAGACAAACGGCAGTCAGTGTTCGTGTGTCTGTCAGCAGTGGTGAGCGGAGAATTTTTCACTTGTCTGTTGAAAAGTGAAAGTTGTTCCCATAGGCATGACTATCTGTTGGGGCCAGTGAGAATACAGTACAGTGTATACTTAAGCCTTCGGTACACATGGAGGCAGCAGGACTGGGAATCGAACCACCGACCACAGCAACAGAAGGCGAGCGCTGTATCCACTAGACCGTCGCGCTCTTGGTCTATTGTATGCTGTTATATTTAATAAATTTAGGCAATAATGTCTTTATTTTAGAGGCGATGAAGTCATGGTCAGGTCAGGTCAGGTCAGGTTACTGGGAGGAGAGAGGGATACAGGTCAGAAAGTTAAAAGATAAATCCCCACAAATTTTAACATTATTTTCTTTTTTCTTTTTTTGGTGCGGAGGGGAGAGAGGGGTGTAGGGGAAGGGCAGGGGAAGGGCAGAGGGAGGGCAGGGAGGAGGGAAGGAGGGCAGGGGAAGGGCAGGGAAGTTAGTCCAGATATTCCGTCAAAATTTGTATATTTTTTTGTTTGTTTTATTAATGAACCGTATTGGTAATAATGTGACGTGTTCTGAGTTAGTTCATTCGTGTAGTTTTGTTATTTGTGTTTCCTGCTGTTGTTCATGATTTAATTATTAATTAATTTTTTTTTTAACAAACCCAGGACTTATTTTGTTGATATTGAGAGAGAGAGAGAGAGAGAGAGAATATTTACTCGTATAATTCTCAACCGCATACTCATCTTTTATCATAACAAACATAATAGTAACCACATATTTACACAAAAAACACCAAAAAATATAATAAAAAAAACACCACCAAACACTGAAAGAAAAAACATAATCTGAACACAAGACTTAACACCAAATGCTAATATATTCCAATAATGATTCCAAAAGGACAAAAATTATCATAAGTTTTCGCTAAATGTTGAAAGTTTGTGTCTTTGGGTCCAACCTGAGACACCAACCCAGCTTCCAGGGATGTGAAATGGACAGTAAAAATTAGCATGAATACAGACAGACAGACAGACAGACAGACAGACAGACAGACAGACAGACAGACAGACAGATAGACAAGAAAGACAGACAGACAGACAAATTATTTATGATTACTCTCTTTTATTTTCTATTCTTTCTGCTTTTCTATACATATATTCACCCATTTTTTTCTATACACACTTTGTTTTCTAATTTACTTTTTTGGGTCCACAGTCTCCATATAAAAAAGGGGAAAAATCTTTTATTTCATTTTTTTTTCGATTTTATTTTTCAATTTTCTGCTCAATATATTCTCGTTATTTTTCTCGTTACACAACCAACCAAAATTAAAATTGTTTCTCCTCTTGCGATATTTTGTCTACCTCTTTTTCTTTTACGAATATTATTTGTTGTTTTGAAGTGGACGACACACACACACACACACACACACACACATACACACACACACACCTGAGAGGTAAACTTTGACACGTCTTAATCATTAACTCAAACACCTCACCTGTTGGAGTAAACGACCGGATATACACTCACCTTAAACTGTTCTAAACTACCTCAAACTTTTTTTTTAGGTTCAACTATGACACGGTGTTATGAACTGTACCAGACTATGTGTACGTGCTGTTATGAAAGGTTATGAACTGTACCAGACTATGTGTACGTGCTGTTATGAAAGGTTATGAACTGTACCAGACTATGTGTACGTGCTGTTATGAAAGGTTATGAACTGTACCAGACTATGTGTACGTGCTGTTATGAAAGGTTATGGACTGTTATAACCTGCTGTGATTGTTATGAAGTAGTATGAACAGGTAAAAAGTGTTATAGATAATATAAACTATAACAATTACTTACAACTGGTATAAACTGTTCTTATATAAACGTTATAAAATGGTACAAACTTTTATATACTGTATATTTTCTAAATTAAAAAATAAGTTTCATATATTATAATAAACTTACAGGAATGACAAAATTATAAGCTTTCTTTACCAGTGACAATATCGGGGCCATATTGTTACTGGTAAATCAGGTGAGATGACTTTACTCTTAATTAATTCAGTATGCAGGTAATAATAAAGGTGGTTTATGTATACAATAAACCTGTAATATAGGTATAAATTTATCCGTCAGTGAGAGAGTGAGAACATGAGTGATATAAGAAAGAAAAATGACTAATGGTGATATTTTGAGGGGACAGGTTGTCTTTTTGTGTCGCCCATAGACCCCAGATGGCCCTCAAGCACCCCAGATGGCCCTCAAACACCCCAGATGGCCCTCAAACACCCCAGATGGCCCTCAAGCACCCCAGATGGCTCCTCAAACACCCCAGATGGCTCCCCTGCTGACCCCAGATGGCCCTCACCCCAGATGGCCTCTAAACACCCCAGATGGCCCTCAAGCACCCCAGATGGCCCTCAAACACCCCAGATAGCCCTCAAACACCCCAGAAGGCCCTCAAGCACCCCAGATGGCCTCAAACACCCCAGATGGCCCTCAAACACCCCAGAAGTCTCCCCTCACACCCAGATGGCCCTCAAACACCCCAGATGGCCTCAAGCACCCCAGATGGCCCTCAAGCACCCCAGAAGGCCCTCACACCCCAGATGGCCCTCTCAAGCACCCCAGATGGCCTCCTCAAGCACCCCAGATGGCCCTCAAACACCCTGCATAGCCCTCAAACACCCCAGAAGGCCCCTCAAGCACCCTGTAGATGGCCCTCAAACACCCCAGATGGCCTCCCTCAAACACCCCAGATGGCCCTCAAGCACCCCAGATGGCCCCTCAAACACCCCCAGATGGGCCCTCAAGCACCCCAGATGGCTCCCTCAAACACCCCAGATAGCCCCTCAAACACTCCCCCAGATGGCCCCTCAAGCACCCCAGATGGCCCTCAAACACCCCAGATAGCCCTCAAACACCCCAGATGGCCCTCAAACACCCCACTTGGTTCTGGGAGAGGATCGGCATAACCTCTGATCATTAGTCACGGATCAATGTGTCGTCACCCAAATCTAGACGAATATCCCTAGTTGGGCGCCTCACCACCAGGGGCGCTGTAGTAGTTCAAGCCAATTTTGTATCTAAGATTTATTATTTCATGGACACCCGCGGGACCTTCAGAACCTTAGTTGATTGGATTGTGGAATTTTTATTATATTTTTTTTTAATCCAATATTCTTGATTCCTCTGTCTCTGTTTTTTTTTATGTTTTTATTTGATTGTATTGTGTTTTGTTCGAGTCGTGTTTGGTGAGTGTGTCGAGTTTGGGTTTTCTAGTTACGTGTGTATCTGTTACTTGGGCTTGGTTAGGTTAGGTTAGGTTTGGTTAGGTTAGGTTAGGTTAGGTTAGGTTAGGTTAGTAAACAGATTATCAATACATATAAATTCCATCTGAATATTTTGACACAGGAGGAGGAGGAGGAGGAGAAGAAGGAGGAGGAGTAGGAGGAGGAGTAGGAGGAGGAGTAGGAGGAGGAGGAGGAAGAGGAGGAGGAGGAGGTTAGGATCCCTAGTAGGAGAGCTCCATGGAAGCCTCTGTGCTGGGTTGGGGATTATGTTCAATATGAAGCCTAAATCTTCAATCTGTTTCCCCTCCCAACTACCGGTAACGTCAGTCTCTCTCGCCTAAACCCGAGAAAGTTTTTTATTTTAACTTTTTTCATTCCAGGATACAACATCTTGTCGACAGTGAAGATCTTGTCGACAGTGAAGATCTTGTCGACAGTGAAGATCTTGTCGACAGGGAAGATCTTGTCGACAGGGACGATGAAGCACCTAAAACTACACCCGGGTAAACTGTGCTTCATAACCCTGGCAGATGAAGCACGTAAAAAAAACCATAACTTCCCTTCCTTCCTTCCTTCCTTCCTTCCTTCCTTCCTTCCTTCCTTCCTTCCTTCCTCCCTCCCTTTCTTCCTTCCTTCCAAAAACCCATAGTAATATTTCAAACTCTTAACACAGGCAAATATTATATCAAATCTCCTTTTTAATTTGCCAACCACTGAGAGAACAACATCACACGACCTGGTAAATAATTGGACTCTCTTAGTACAGCAGCTATTAATCCGTCCATGTAAATGTAATCACCAGCAGCCCCAGTATAACACAGCTCTCCCCTATACATGTATGAAATTATTATAGCGAGAACACAACGATTTATATGCTAATATGAGTAACACCTCAGAGCCAAATTACCTGTGGTGGTGGTGGTGGTGGTGGTGAGAGTAGGGAATGTGGGTGTAGTGGTGGTGGGAGGGGGTAGTGGTGGGAGGGGGATACTGGTGGTGGTGGTGGTGGTGGTGGTGGTGAGAGTAGGGAATGTGGGTGTAGTGGTGGTGGGAGGGGGTAGTGGTGGGAGGGGGATACTGGTGGTGAAGTTTTTGATGGTGACGTTGGTGAGCTTTCTGGCCTTTTATGGTGAGGGTAACAGGATGAAAGAAAACACGAGTGGGTGTGGCTGCAGGCACACAATCTGAGGGCTGGTGAGGGAGACAGAGAGGTAGGGAGGGAGGGAGGGAGGGAGACCGGTAGAGAGAGGGTGAGGGAGGTGACAGGTAGAGAGGAAGGGAGGGAGACAGGTAGAGAGGGAGTGGGGGACAGGCTATCAAGACTAATATGAGGCAAACGAGGAACCTCTCACACAACCCCTTAAAAATATTCAACTTAGGGAGGATAAAGGAGGTAAAGTTTGGCCCGGGTGATCGATGGTGTCTTCAAGCAGCGGGGAAGTTGTGTATATTGTTGTTGTCGGTCAGGTTAAGTCAGAGGAGGAGAACTGAGGGGGAGGAAGGTCAGCGTCCCTGTAAGAAGTGATTTTTAACTCTTGTATCATGGAGCTACAGGGAGGCTGACTGTCATCTTAGTTGTTTGTGAAATTTATTATGAGATAAGTAGGTAGTGTGAAGAGGTGAGAGTAGTGAAGGTTTTCCAGCATAATGTGAGGACCTAAGATGAGGGAGGTGGGAGGTGGTGGCTGAACCCCAATACAGGACCTCGGCGAGTCAATAGCAAGAGACCCAATCCAGTACGATCTGTTCCCGAGATTGTGCACGCGTGTGTGTGTGTGTGTGTGTGTGTGTGTGTGTGTGTGTGTGTGTGTGTACAGCCTCCCGACACACCAGTGGGCTTGGGTACAGACACAACAGCAGGCAGCCATCCTGTATCGCTGCACCGGCTCTTTTACTTGTATTTCCTGACAACCACCACCGCTAACCCCGCCAGGCTGCCGACACACTACACCAACAAACAAACTACCAGATATACAGAAGGTTGAGTGATAGAGAAAAGACCAGAGCCACAGGAAGAGTAAACACCCAGAGTACTGCGTTGATTGGCACTGCATCTGACACACCAACGTTGACTGTGTGGTGTGTAAACTATCACTGGGAGACACAAGGCCCCCAGGGTTCGTATCCCCCCACACACTGGCCTCTGTAATTCTCCCATGGCAGTATTTCAGCAAGAGAATATCCAGTGTCGATCTATATACAAGTGTCTCTATGTTTCAGAGACTTTGGTGGAAACAAAAAAAAATTATCGAATCATATAATTGGATTGGAATATTTAACTCAGCCGGACGTGGCCAGTCAATCCCTGTATAAGTTAATGTTTCTTTACTGATATGTGAAGTTAATTATCAGTTGAATAGCTTGATGTTAATGAACCTTGACCATAACCAATACACACACCCACACCAACCCCCACCCACTCAACCACCCACACACCCACACACGAGGCACCCAGTGTAGCGAAGTGACTGTAATTTGCGCAGTAATATTTCAGCAAGAGGACGCAGCAGTGCTATTGGTGGGGGCGACGGCAATATTGTGAGAGTAGTTTATGTGGTGGTAATGTGTGGCCCGGACATTGCCCCCCCCACCCCACCCCGCAGTTAGCTTATGTATGGAGTCGGATTCTGTTCTCTGTTCTTTCTGTTTCCAATATATATCCGGTTTGTGATGTGAAGGTGTTGTTTTAGTGTGTGTGTGTGGGAATATACATAGATAGATAGTTAAGTAGAGAGATAGAGAGATAGAGATAGACTGAGATAGATCGAAAGACAGAGAGTTATAAATAGGGAATTATTCTTGTTGTATTATAGTTTTCTTGGGTTGAAGCTTATTATGTATGGTGACACACACACACACACAGACTGATAGACACACACACACACACACTACATCTGTCCTCCACGTACACAATATTATATCCTTGACTGCCAACACCATCTTCAGTCAGCAGAGACCAGACCCTCACCTCATCTCTCCCTGGCGCTGTGAGAACCATCCAAGACATGGGGATAATGTCTCTCTCCGCAGATATAATTTGTAATAAAACCTTCAGCGAGTTTTAAGCAAGACAAAAAAGTTTTAATGAAGAGACGACAAACGGAGAGACTCACAGCACTCGGGTCTTCCTCCTTCTCCTCCTTCTGCTCCTTCCCCTACTGCTCCCCCTACTCCTTCTCCTCCTACTCCACCTTCTCTCAGTCTCTCCGTCTCTCATGACAATTCCACTCATGGGTCAGATACATTTAACTGTTGCTAGTCTGGACGCTGAGGGAAACTTTCCACTGGGAAAGACGTGAGCAGAATCTCAACCAATCACGAGGACTCTCCAGCTGCTGGGAACAACTTTGCTGTATCGTCCGCAAACAATTCCGTAATTGTAGAGTAGTTAACGGTGAAAGGAACAAACAAGTTATTTTGACAGGGAGATCTGTCTGTGTTGGAAAGGACAGACTGCCGGGAAGACTCAGCCACAAGTTTCACGGTCGGGAGGTGGACGTGAGGGATATTGAGCTGCTTGAAGCGTCGTAATGAGATGTTTCGCGAAACTTTGTGGCGCTAATCAGCCTTAAGGTGAAGAGATATTGTTGAGGGTCTTCATGACGTCTTAGAGTAGAAACTAAAGAGTCTTATTTCACTGTATTGCAGTTCTATAGTGACTCTATCAAGGCCAGACCACGATACTTACTTTAATACCCTCGGGTCTATGTTGTAGTGAAAACAATTATAGTGTGTCCCTACCTTTCCCTACCTTACCCTACCCTACCCTACCCTACCGTACCCAACCCTACCCTACCCTACCCTACCCTACCCTACCGTACCCTACCCTACCCTGCCCTACCCTACCCTACCCTATACATATATGGGATAAATAAAAACTATAAGGAAATCACGCCATCTTTGCCAATCTGAGTCTTGACTGTGAAATAATACGTGTGACTGTTGAGTGTCATCTCCACAGTGTTAAACTCTGACTGTGGTTTAACTGTAACTGTTCTGAGCTTCACCAATACGGTCAATACTTTCCAAACTTTTCCTCAGCTCGACTTTGACACTTGTTCAAAACTTACACACTGCTTTCAGCGTCACCCCTCCCTCTACCCCCTCCCTCCCTCTTTCCCTCTCGCCCCCTTCCTCTCTCCCTCTCTCCCTCCATCTCTCCTTACTTCCCTCCCTCCCTCTCAACACCCCCTTCACCTCACCAACACTCCTCCAACAACTACGTATAAACACTTCAACTTAGGTCTTACACTTCACTTCACCTTCAACACTAGTGGGAGCAGATGTGAGTAAATCTACACACACACACGCACACACACACACACACACACATACACACACACACACACACACACACACACACACACACACACACCTCCCAGCAGTTCTCAACACTTCTAAACTATTGCTGAGGAATTCCTGCTCTGTGTGTGTGTGTGTGTGTGTGTGTGTGTGTGTGTGTGTGTGTGTGTGTGTGTGTGACCTCATGACCTCATTGTATCAAACTATGCCTTGGAAAGTGATATATGATTGTAGAGAAGCTCAAGTGTTGGGGATTAGTTAGTGTGTTGGAGATGCGCATTAGTGTTGGTGAAGAAATGCTATAGTGTTGGTGTAGTGGTAAAAAAACAAACATTGTATTAGCATTGGAACCTTGTCGACAGTGTTATAGTGGTGACCTGAGGCTGTGTGGACGAGTGGCGTGTGAGGGGGCCAGGCCAGGGTGTAGGAGACTCAGAGGTAAACAATGGTTGAATGCTTTAATATTTTGGTCAGTGTGAGAGAGATGTGTTGTGATATATATGTACTATATGTGTGGGGGGAGAGAGAGAGAGGCAGACAGACAGAGAAACAGACAGAGAAAGAAAGAGAGATAGAGAAAGAGAGACAGAGAAAGAAAGACAGAGAAAGAGAGACAGAGACAGACAGGAAGAACAACATAATTTTCTAAAAAAAATTATGGACGCATAATATCCTCCCAGAAAATGCTACCAATTGCATTGCAAAATGTGAGACACGAATGTGAATTCTAAAAACATAAATTCGAAACTGGTGAAATGCATTTCCTGACTAATGGATCTGCAGGTAGAGGGAGTGTCGGTGAATGAAGGAAAAATATAAGAAAGAAGAAAGAAAAGTTTAAGGTGATGGATAATTGAAAACTCAGGGGAACCGGGATAGCTCTCTCTCTCTCGCTCTCTCTTAACCCAGAAACGAAACATTAATAAGACGCACTTCACCATAACTTGTACGTCATTTAACTCAAGGTAATTATCAAAGTTTTGGGGATATGTAAAAAAACACTTCATACCTTCACTTGATAATTAGCATCAGTTTCCAATATGTTCCTCAGACTAGTTTAAAAAAATCAATTTCCTCCCATTAAAACTTTTTACACTTCCTTACGTGACACAGAAGTTCAAACATTTTTTTTTTTTAAATTTCGTTTTTTAAGTAAGAAATTTTATTGTGAAATGAGAAATATTAGAGAACATTAAGTTGTTAAT